TTCCGTGCTTCTGCCAGTTCGGGCGTCATTGCCTCTGCTGGGGCAGGACCGTCACTGCTCTTTTTGTCGGAGCTGTCTCTGTAATTGGAGATGGCGGTGGCAGGTGGCCGTTGAAGTGCGGCCGTCAAGCATCAGATCCTAAGTCAGTCAGGTGCGCCGCCCCTGGATACGGACTCCTTTGGTGTCAGGTATGGTGTGGTTCGTCCAGTTCAATGCTCTGGAGGCGAAGTGCTTGGAGCGGTGTGTRAGGCGAAGTCTTGAGTTCGGATAGGAGGGGGGGGTGTCCCGAACTGTCATGAGACGGGCCAGTTCGGGTCACTGTTTTGCGTGGCTCGGGGCCAAAGGGAGAGTTCGGGCTCCTCGTAGGGAGTTCGAGCTCTAAGTAGGGAGTTCGGGCCCCTTGTAGGGAGTTCGGGCCCCTTGTAGGGAGTTCGGGCTCCTCTTAGGGAGTTGGTCTCCTCGAGGGGAGTTCGGACCGCTGGTCTCTTCCCGTTGGTGTTTGTACCCTCGGTACACTGTTTTAAGTGCCGAGCTACTTGTTTTTTGCCACGTGGCGTGATTTGCGAGGTCGGGCCAAATCTTCCTTCATCAATTATCAATCAATTAACACACACGACTTGGGCTTCTTTTCTAGATAGGCAAACCTGCTTCTCCCATGTGGAAGAATGATGTGGATAATCCATATCATTGGATTGCCCACATATTCATAGTCTCTGAACTCTGTATCCCAACTCGCAGTGAGCTTTTCCCAAGTTATATAAGCTATCAAGAGTTTCAAATTTTCAATTTCAATATGGCCTACAAGAAGAGGACATATGATGGGCAAGGCAAGGCCTTTTCGACTAAACTTCCCCCATCATGTGTGACCCTTTTGATCCCAACCATGTGCCACATGGAAAGATTACTGGATCATTTAGACTTGTTTTCTAACCAATCCAAGAGAACCAGAAATTTAGGTGGAATCATATCTATATTATAATAGAAAAAGAGAAGGGTGTAGGGCCAATAGTCTTCTCTAACAGGCCTTGCACGTAGCTCCTTTCCTTCTTCTTTCTAACATATGCCAATAAAAACTTTAAAAGACCAAATTATTTCTTATTTGTGCTTTAAGCACCTTTATTTTTAATAATGCAGTCCACTTTTCTTAATATTATTTCAACGACTGCATTTTTCTTGTAGGAAATAATCAAATAAATGGGGCTCATTGGAAACAATACATTAATGTTATCATGGTCAGTACCTGGGGCACCTGACAATGAGTTCTCTTTTGCCTCCACCACATCTTCTCTTGCTTCCATTACCTCTAGATATCTTTCATTTTCTGCTACACATTGCACAATGCCCCTCTCTCCTTCACATAGTCCAACCCACTGCCTTCACTACATTATAAACACATTGAAGTGCTTTCAGTAGAAAAAAAAAGTATATCATTGTTAGCCATACATCTGTGTCTTTGATCTTATGTTTTTTGGTTTCATAGTGTTGATAGTGTTGAATTGAGTCTTTGAACTTCCTTCCATTCAAAGGGCTTTCTTTTTTGTTTGTAAGGTTGGCTGACAGTATTGATAGATGGCCCTCACCATACTGTTTCAATTTTTTTTTTTTTTTTTATCAATAAGACAATAACATACTGTTTCAAATTGTTATTATCTTTCTGGAGTTTCCTTTTTCTAATCTGCTTGTTTCCAGTTTCTCCAAGTAGGAACAAGAAGAAGAAAGCAGTACCTTGTGGTGTTATGAAATTATGAATGCTGTTTTTCTTTTTCTTTTTTTTTTTTTTTTCTTTGGGGGGGGTGGGGGTGGGCAGGAAAAGTCAAGATAATAATAAGTTGGGATCTATCATAGACTCACACACACACACACACACAGAATCAGATGATCCGTTTTATAGCACCACATATTGGGACAAAAGTTTGGTAGACAGGGAAGCATTCTGGGAGAAACCGACATATACCCTAATGGAGTGTGTACAGGTGGTATTAAGGGAGGTGCACATAGAGGTGATGTAGCACTCCCCAAAGGATAACTTCTTGGCATAAGGATCATTCATGAATGAGGTAATGCAGTGTCATCAACTAATTGGTTAAAGAATGATTCTGAACTCTTCTTTCCCTAGTCCTTAGAAACTTAGGCTCCTGCAGAAGGTGGTGTTTGTGGAGAAAAAGCTGACTACCTCGAGGCTTGTATCAGAATTGTTGCAGATTTTTTGTTTTCAGGGAAGCTCTCCCTCTAATACAATTTCATTTGCTTTTCAAAAATAACAATAAAAAAAAAAGAATTGTTGCAGAGATTGTCAGCTTTACCTGTCCATGCTATGTGTTTCAATGGGGATGGGACAAAGAGGATCGGAATGCCCATAAATATATGTTCCCATGCATGTTGGAGGATCATCATGATCAGAACAAACTAACATTTCTTTCCCAACCAGATCCTTATCTCTTCCTAGTCTCCCTTTGCTCTGTTGGCCCATGGCAACTAATTGATCACCAATTTACCATCCAGTCATCCTTTTGAGCTTCATATCAGAAAGAGCATCTAAAGAATCTTTATTCACACAGATATGATAAAAAGATATCTTAATATCAGTAGTCCATGAGATTGAGTTTCCTTTTTATAAAAGGTGGGTGGTACAATAATTTCATCAATATAAAGAAAAGCTGAGGAGGGAGAAACTTCCTCATCAGAAACATACAAGGCTACTAAAGACAATGAAAAAGGAATTACAGCAAAAGATCTTCATCCCAAAGGATACTACCCCATTTATCCAAGAATTGTATGAACTAACCCCTAAACAGGTCTGAAACAGATACTGGGTTTCTTATTAAATGTAGTTTCTTGTGTCCCAGTAATTAGTTGTTTTATTAACATCAGCCCCACAGTACAAAATCTAAATTTGTAACATGTGTGATGGTTTTGACAAAGCCAAGTTGATTTTCCTGGATTCATGGACTAATTAGTTAATTGCAACTAATTATGTTGTTCTTCTGATGTGTGTTACCTAGGCAAAGGACTTGCCTGGAAAGGTATCAGATACAACCGTACAAGTATATACGTACCATAGTAATAGATAGGAGGTCCTACAACCATAATTGTCAAGGCGATGCCTAGGCGAGAAGGTGCCCTTGGAGGCTTACCTCGCCTAATCGCCAAGCAGTTTTGTACATTGTGTTATAAAATACTTTTATGTTCTTGATTATTTAATATTATAATTATAAATAGACATTATTAAAAATATTAATTTTGTGTGTTTATATACTAATTTCTTTTTATTATTTTTTATCTGTTAGGGTTTAATCAACACAAACATTGCTAAATGTTGTATTGAACCTTCAAAGACTTCAAAACCTGAACCAATAAATAAGGAAGAACTTAAAGTTTTGTCTAATCAACACATTTTCTTTTCTCCTTTTCTTATAACAAAAATAGGGGTTTTTCCACCTTTTCTTTTCTCCTTTTCCTATAACAAAAATAGGGGTTCAGCCCCTATATATATATATATATTTTTTAATTTTCTTTCCTTCTTTCTTTTTCTTCTCATGAGTATGTTGATTTTCTATGCTTATGGAGTTTATAATTTTCTTATGAAAATTATGGATAATTGTTAAGGACATATGGTTATGGAACCTAGGGAACTACCCTAGGATATATGTTTTTTACTTAAAAAAAATTCATCTCCTAGGCAACTAGGCGACAAGGTGACAAGGTGCCCCACTATCGCCTAGCATCACCTTGGCGCCTTGCAAACTATGCCTACAACTTTAGATCTAGTGGCAGGCTTTGCAAGGTGAAATAAGGTGATTTGGTGATTAGGGGTAAAGAATATAGGTGGAGAAGTAGAGAGCTCGCTGTCCAAGGAATGAGCCTGTAAAATTTGAAACATATAAGCCTGTAAAATTTGTAAATGTGTTTTCTTTTGGCACTGCCTCTTTCATGTAACCACTTGATGGCATTTTGTTGTAAATGTTCTCAGTGGCATGTTGGTATTAAACTAGAGCTAGTTCGTGAGATTTTTCTTGCCTCAAGATTTATTTACAGTTACCAACCCCTTTCTGCAGTGCCCACAAGCTTTGGAAGAACGTGAATCCTTAACTGTCCATCAAGGTGCAACTCCTGCACTCTCTACAGGAGTCCTAGTTAATGCAAACCTACAAACATCAAGCCCTGATACTTATTGTCCGCCTCCTGCACCTCTGCCATACGATGTTGATTTGGGACGTCCGGAAACTCCACCATCCACTCAAGAAAGTAGTGCCAACAAGAGTGAATTGCAGACAACAAATTCGGAGACTGTCCAAGAAATGTTAATCAGCAGTGGTGCTGAAACTTTGGTTGCATGTGAAAGTCTAAAGGAATCAGATTGTAAAGGTGAAACCAAGTCTTTGCCTTCATCTCCAAAGGAGTCGGATGTTGAACTTTCAAAGTTGAGTGAAGCTATCATTTCAGCAACTGAAGAAGAAGACGTTTGCCCCACATGTCTTGAAGGTATACATTTTTTTTTTTTAATTTTTGATCAGAAGGTATAGTGAATTTTGGAAATCTTCTTGATAATTTCCAGATGACAATTGGTGAAAGAATTTTATGGACTCTCTGAGTTAGTTATTGCTTTAACTGCAAAAACCATCAATTGCAGTTTCATTCTACCATGGGTGATCTCAGATTATTCTACTGTATCGGAACTCAATCATATTAATAAACCTTTTAATGTTTCCTCTCTGCAGAATATGATGAACAAAATCCAAGAATAATCACAAAGTGCGAACATCATTTTCACCTTGCTTGCATTCTTGAATGGATGGAAAGAAGTGATACCTGCCCTGTGTGTGATCAGGTTTGCCTTGTATAACATCTAATTTATGGGTGATAATATGACAATGTGATGCTGTCAGTAACATGATTGTATACAGGGATATGCTTTGTCAGTTTGTTATCCTTTTTTCCATCCATGAAAAGGTTGTGCTTCTGTTGTGGTGCAGGAAATGATATTCAATCATACTGTTAATGCATAGTAAGAGCAGCAATGTGAGGGGAGAATGAATTTTTCAGCTGTTTGACACGGAAGTTTACCAGGAAAGGACTGTGGAGGTACAAGGGGTTTCTCTGTTTATTAGTGAGTCATTCAGAACTGCAGATTCAGCTTTATATTGGTCATTGTCATTTCTATGGGAGAATTGTGTCTATTCCAAATGCCTCACACTTTTCTTGGTTGTTTTTGAGTAATCAAATTTAAGGGACTGACGTAACACAACACATGGCTCATTTTCCCCTGTGATAATTGTGAGGTTTCTGGTGGGTTGGGCAGATTAAAAGCAGGAGGATGATGCAGATTGCACATGCATTGGAGGGAGCTGTTTGAAGCATTGTTTTTTGAAGGAAAAAGAAATGGTAAACTCTGGATTTTTCTTGTTCACCATTTGATTTAGTAGCGTAGTATCCCCTTTTTGTACAGCATCTCTTTTAATCTGCAAATCCAGGTGCTTGGACGAACTGTTCTTTTGCATTGGATCTGTAAATTGTATATGGTTACTGTCTTTCTATTTTCTTTTTCATTTTTTCTTTTCTAACTTGGTATTGTCTGGGGTTTGGTGGGTATTCGATCAGTGAATGAAGTATAGAATGATCAATAAGAAAAGGTATTTTTTTTGTTTGAATATTGGGTTCTATAATATAGACTACAATTTCTGCAAATGAATGTAACAAGGTATGGTCTGGCTGGTTGTCACCTGTCACTGTATGTTTGGATTAAAACGTTTAGCGGCTGTGTAGGGCACCAAGTTGTTCAATTAGAACAGCACCTGGTGGAGTTCACCAAACTCCCTTTTTTCAATTATTCATCAGCTGTAATTAGATCAATGTGCTTCAATTATCATGTCGTCATTCGATTGAATGCCTTGACCTTAAACCCTATCCACGGGTTTATGCGTGTGAACACTGAGCAATTTACACAAAGCATGGCCTATTACTTGCAAGTTAGCTGGATAGTTGGACCAATGCCGAGTAATGACAATTGACAACCTCCTGCTTGTTACGAGTCCTGTCTACTGCCCGGGGATAGCTGCGGCTGGCGCTGGGATTGAGTGATTGTGTGGTTGTGTCGATATCCATAATCCCTATGCCTTCTCGTGGGCTGCCCACATAGATGTACGCAAGGATCAAAATTTTCCATTGTACCTAGGGCTTTGAAGTGGGCCGACCCAGCACAATATGGGCCATGTCGGGCACGGCCTGGTTACTATATCAATTGGGTTGTGCCACAGCCCGTCCCATACCCCCAGGCCACATAAGGCTTGGGTTTTGAGGCCTGTGGCTGTGGGCTACACCACTAAGAATGTAAGAATATATTCGGTAGGGACCTTCAATAACTATTGTTTGCTTTTTTTTTTTGTTTTTTGACATTACCCCCAATAGCCATAAATAATTGGCTTGGGGGGTATTTGTGTATTTTTGCTTTGGAGGAGGAAAAATAACCATAATGTCCCTGAATAGTTATATAACCAGTTTGGAGGGCATTTTGGTAAAAGTGATAATTAACTTTATGAAAGATCAAAATATCCCTTCCAACAACTATACAATGGTTAGTTTTTAGAGTATTTTGGTTATTTGAATTAATTCTAATTCCTATAAATACTCTTACCCTCCTTTATTCTCATCACATAATTCTCATACTCTCGTATATTCACATACTTGTGCACTCTCTCATACACTCTCATATTCTCTTATTCCCTATCTCTCTAGTCCTTAATTCTCAACTTTATTCAAATAGTAACAAAAAGAATGTTTGCTCAAGTATCTCAAGTTTCCAATTTGGGAGACTTAAAAGTTTTATCAATTGAAATAAAGTTGGGACTCCAAACTAATAGATCGGATAAGTTGCAATTGGTTTTCATTGTTTTAGTATTTTAAATACTATAAATTTAAAAAATATGGCTGATTCTCTCAAAATCCCTTTTCCAATATGTCTAGTTTCAAAGGTGTACTATCACAATACGATAACATCCATATGGGTGCTAGTGGTTCTATGGCTAATGCTACTGTTGAAGCCACCCCAATTTGCATGAAATGTAAAGGTAATTTTAGCTAGGAAAAATTCCCAATAAGTACCATGTACTTTAGGTTGAGTGCCAATTTAGTACATGTACTTTAAATCGTGACAATCTAGTACCCGAACTTTCAATTTGGGACAATTTGGTACTTGAACTTTTAATTTGCAAGAATTTGGTACCCAACATTAGATTTCCGTCAGTTAGAAACTCACATGTGGGTTAAAATTTTCAAAATACCAAAAATACCCTTTATTAAAAAAACCTTCTTATTTCCCTAATCCCCTGTTGTCTTCGTTCTGGGTTGAACGAATGAAAAACCCTTCTTAGTTCGATAAAAAACGACACCGCTTTCGACGGAAATCTTGCCAAGATGTTTCCACTGCGTAGAATTTCCCGTCAGGTTCTTGTTAATGATCATCCCATGGATGCTGCACATTTTCGAAGAGTGTCGGGCTATGTCACCCAGCACGATGCACTCTTCCCTCTGCTAACAGTCAAAGAAACACTCATGTACAACGCCTGTCTGATGGGATGTGGTGGGCGTAGTGTGGCTGCAGCGAGAGTGAGAGAGCTACAGAAAGAGCTGAAGTTGGATCATGTGAAGGATTCAAGGATTGGCGGGGATTCAGCTCGTGGGATCTTAGGCGGTGAGCAGTGCAAGGTCTCTGGGTTATAGAGACTCTGGGTATACAAACCTCGTTGACTCTTGAAGGCCAATTGTCGATTGAGGATAAAGCTACTGAAAATCATCATGAAGAAGACAAGCAACAAGAAAAGCGGTTGACGACAACTTCAACATCTGATTTTATCGAAGAAAAGCATCTTTTCTACCCAAATTCTCAATTCAAGAGATCTTAATTCTAAGCCAGAGATTCTGCAGCAACATATTCAGAACCAAGCAACTTTTTGCGGCCCAAATGATCCAAGCCTTAGTGGTCGGAGTTGTGCTGGGAACAAATTTCATGAATAACAATGACACCAACCGGGTCAGGTTGCAGACGTGACTCAGGTTCTTCTCTTTCAATCTCACTTTCTTGCTCTCTTCAACCACAAAAAGGGCTACCGATTTTCTTATCGGATAGAAGAATTTTGATGAGAGAGACCTCTAGAGGAGCTTACAGAGTCTCGTCCTACGTAGCAACCAACACCCTGGTATTCCTCCCCTTTCTTCTATTGTTTGCTCTTCTCTACAGCGTTCCCTTATATTGGCTAGTGGGTTTGAGAAGAGAAATCGATGGGTTTCTATACTTCTGTCTGGTGGTTTGGATGGTGGTGTTGATGTCGAATTCATTTGTGGCATGTTTCAGTGCTCTCCTCCCCTCCAAAAATGGCACTGCTTCTCGGATTCTCGACGGCGCAGTAATTTTTCAACGTCGTGTACGTCAAAATCAACTTTCCCAGCAACACATTCGCCAGACACCACCGGCGTGAGGGAGCTGGTTCTTTGTAAATGCAAGAACAGTGGTTCCTACTTGCTTGCTCGATGGGTTATTTTAATAATTTTAATTGATCGAAATAGCAATGGGGGTATTTAAGACTTTTTATCCTCTAACCGACGGAAATCTAACATCGGGTACCAAATTGTCCCAAATTTAAAGTTTGGGTACTAGATCGTCATGATTTAAAGTACGGGTACTAAATTGGCACTCGGCCTAAAGTACAGGCTACCTATTGGGAATTTTCCCTTTTAGTTATAACAACAGTGATGGTATTGAAATTTTAGCTAAACATGCAACCAATTATCTAAAAAATGAAGATAATTAAAATCAATTACAAATTGAGCATGAATTTTTGGTAATTTTGAATATTCTCCAGAAAAATGAAACAAAAATCAACTATATTGTACATGTTGAACAACTACTTTTATTAGCTTAAGATCCTAGGCTAGAAAGATTTTTACAACAATGAGTAAATCCTTAGTTTAAAAGTTTTTAAAAATACAATTAGAATAGATGCATTAAAAAAAATTATTTATATAAACAAAATTGTAGTTTCTACTTTGTCAATTCTTAATTATAAAATTGCACTTATATTTGATATTTGGACTTTTAAATACAATTTAAGTTATATATGTGTTATGAGGCATTTTATTGATGAAAATTGACTTTTATAAAAAAAAAAATTTACAAGACTTGAATGGCCATATATTGGCTAAACAATTGTTTCTATTATATTAAATATTTTACATACTTATGAAATTAAAAATTAAAGTTTTTTTATTAGTTTTGGTAATGCTAGTAATGATAATTCAATAATAAATATTTTAAAATCTCAATCAAAACTATGTTTAAATGGTAAATTATTTCATATTAAATGTGCATGAAACATCATAAATTTATGTATACAAGATGCTTTAAATATTATTTCTCATATTTCTAAAATTAGAAATTGTATTATCTATATTAGAAGTTCAAGTACTACAAAATAAGAACTTAAATATTTATATAAAAACATGGTCTAAAATATAGAAATTTTGTATTAGATATTCAGCATAGGTGGAATTCCATTTATTCTATGTTAAAAAGTTGTATTTCATATAAACACATCCTTACTAATTTTTATAATGAGTAAATGTCCCATGATATTATAACTAATGAGATTGGAAAATTGTAGTTTGTATAAAATGTTTTTATACAAATTTTTTATGATACAATTAATGCATTTTTTGGTGTTTATTACCCAAATTCTTGTATTTTAATTAATTATTTATTTATAATTAGTCAATGTTTTTTAAAAATTATATAAAATAATTTAAATTTTCAAAATATTATTGATGTAATGGAAGTTAAATTTAAAATATATATTTATCTACAATATAAATTTAAAATATATATTTAGCTAAGATTATAAAAATGGTTTAGATGATGTTTTACTTGAATCTTATGAAAATGTTAAAAGTGAAATTGGAATAGAATAAGATGAAGTTAATGATTTTATTATTTGAAATGTACATTATATATGAATCTTCATTATTAGGATATAGGAGAATTAATACAACCTCTACTACTAAAACCTCTAGTTCTACTAGTGAAAGAGATAGAGTTTGGTCATTAATAAATAGAAGTTAAAAATTATTTGTCACTTTGTCATCAAGTTCATTTATTAAACTCAATTTTTATTTATAAGCTAATTTTACTAATTTAATAAATGCACTCAACTCTGATGAATTAAATAATTTTCATACTTTAGCCTGATTGAATGAATGTGCATGAAAAAAATTACCCAATCCTTGATGCTAAAGACAAACTAAAAGATCAGGGAGGACATAACACTTCACTTGATGTTTCACTAGAAGCAAATGATATAAATCAAGATTAAGGAAATGAAGGAGGTAGGACTTGTATGGTTGATGTTGAAGAAAATAATGAAATCAATATTTTTTGTATACTCATTAATTGTATAGCATATTTAAAATTATTGTGAATTTTGTTTTTCAATTTTATTTAAAAGTTATTTGCAATTTTTTCAATACCATTGTAAATTTTTATTTTCAATTTTATTATATTATTTTTATATTTTATTTAAATTCCATTGTAGTTTTTTTTTCAGTTTATTTTTTTACTTTGTATTCATTAAATTCAAATGAAAGAAAACTTCTAAATTTTTCT